AAAGTCTTTGATCTTTCTGCTGCGTGAGGCAGCCCATCCCATCTTGGGATCCTGGCACTGCCCTCTTGGATGCTGTTGCGTTGCTTCTGACTCACTACAGCATCAGAATGTCACGCAAAGGACCTTTGGGGTTGGAGGGGAATTACTGTTTTCCGTCTGGCTGACGGACAGTACTGCTAGCACCGCAGTGAAGGATTGCCGCGGAGTTGAGGGGCTGCTGGCTGTGTGCTATCCCTGTTCAAGTTGTGCTGTCAGAGCAAGTTTTAGCAACTTTACGTTAAGAGCTCATTTTTGGGTCCAATCTTGAGAATGCTGATGGGGCCATGAGGTTCTTAGGAATGCCAGAAAGCCTATTTGAATATTTTCCCATTGAAAAAAGGACTTGATTGGAAAGTGTATCTCAGTCAATCCTACAGAAAAGCAACGTTTTCTTTCTCAGTGGGGCAGTTTTCAATATAAACGGTGCCTATGTCTTGTCAATCCTGTGCTGACTTGCAACTGTTTAGCTTATCTGTATCCTCCCAGTATAGATTTAAGGCTTTGCTACTGTCAGTTCATCCATTTCGACATGTCTCGTGTCAGCTCACTTCCAATTCCCCAGAATCCACTGGCACGAGAATTACTTTACTTTTGTGAAGCCCTTGAAAGTACTGACGAAGCCCAGACGTAGGGTTTCAAGCATTTTACAAATAAGACAAGGCAACTGGAGGACGGTATCACTTAATCTCTACTAAAAGCACGGACGGCCCTAGCAAAAGTGTTTCCTTTGCTGTGTTTTTCAAAACCAATTTTTACTTCACTGTAAATATTTTTTTAAAAAGTGGCGTGGCTTTTTTGGTTTTGTTTTATACGAGTTGTTCTGTATCTCTTTAGAGGTTACGGGTTCGTGAAATTCACGGATGAACTGGAACAGAAAAGAGCGCTGACGGAGTGTCAAGGAGCTGTGGGGTTGGGCTCTAAACCTGTACGCTTGAGTGTGGCTATACCAAAAGCGTGAGTATGAGAGCAGCCAGACGTGCCTGTAAGAGCACGGTGATATGAAATCACGTGTATTTTTAAATGCCTTCTAGTGGTTTGGGTACGTTTCCTGGATGTTTCCATCACAAAGTGAAGGAATACCCACAAATATAGTAAAGTAGCTAGAGTATCAGAATGTGGAGGAATTCAAAGAAAGTATAGCATTAGATCAAGACAAAGCATTTTACACTGTTTTTGTTTGTATATGTTCTTAAATACACACACATACACACACTGTGTTTAAATATGGTTATTTTTAAAGTGTATGTTCCTTTGCATTAAATTGAAATAGTCTAAATCTGTTTATTGATTTCTGGATAGCAAAGCTCAATTACCTTGCTAATTCTATTATAATGTCTACTAAATATAAGTCTTTTGGGGCAGGGATTAACTTTTTTTTCTGTGTTTGTTCAGAACCTGATACAATGAGATCCTGGTCTGACTTGGGGCTCGTAGCACTAGGGTAATACGAATAATAGTAATTGCTCCCTATTTGAATAATATTTAGATTTTCAGTGACCTGAGAAGTCTTGGGGGAATAAGGAAGAGAAAAGCAGAAAAAGGGGGTGTATCGTGGTGAGAAGATTGATGTTTCCCTCTTCCTACTTCTCACTAATTCCATCACTAGACATAGCTTTATGTGTGACATATTTTCATTTTCAAATAATATTTGTCATCTCATTATTTCAAATCTTGACAATCAGGTGGGATTCCCGGTTCATTGGGAATGTGAATTTTAGTCAGCTCACAGGCTATTTATTTTTTTACTTACTTACAGTCCTTTTTACTTCATGAGCTCTTCCAAATCTATGCAGTGAAGATCACCCAGTTCAGTGGGAATGGGACAACCAGTTGTTGCTTAGGCTTCTATATGATAGTGGCAGAAGGGAGAGGTTTCTATCCGTTCTTACTAAAGAAAACCCCAGTTCTTTTGCAAAGCTCTAAGTCTTTAACTCTTCATGTAAAGCAAAACTCAGTACCTTGTCTCAGGAAGGTGCAGAGTAGTTGACTTCATCCAGGGCATGGGGGGTGGAACAAGATGATCTTTAAGGTGCCTTCCAACCTAAACCATTCTATGATTCTATTTATCAGAAGGAGAAAGGAACCCAAGAATCTGCACCGTGGTTCAGGATTGTTCTAAACTGAGGCTCATAGTCCTGAACTCTTCCCTTCCCGCAGCCAGGAAGTGATTCTAAATTAACTCATAAAGAATGAAAGCCATGTTTATTAATGAAGGTGAATATGAATACAAGAAAGGGCGTTAAATTTAAACCACTTCTTTCTTTCTGCAAATGTATGCAAATGATAAATACTGCTGCAGTAAATAGTTAATATATTTAAAAGACTGAAATTTGCATGTTAGCCTAAGCCTTGTTTATGTACCATATTGTATCTTAAGCTATTTCACTGCCTTTTTCTTTCGTAATTGTTCTGCACTAATTGCAACTTATTCCTGCTTTATTTTTTTAAGTAATCGTGTGAAAACAATGGAGTACAATCAGATGTACAACTATAATTATAACCAATATTACCAACAATATCACAACTACTACGCCCAATGGGGCTACGACCAGAACACAGGCAGTTACAGCTACAGCTATCCCCAGTACGGATACACGCAGAGCACGATGCAGGTAGGACGGCGCGACGTACTCGCGCTTCTGTGATCCCTCAGCACAGAAACAGGAGGTGGCTTACAAAACGGCGATGGGCGCATTTCATCTTCAAGCTCTGGGGTCTTACTATAGCTACTCGATGAGGAAGCAAAACTGTTTAGCAGACCCTGGTGTGTTCTGTTGCCTCGTGTGGGGGGTATTGCTGGGACTGGAGGGGTAAAAAGGTCTGGGGGGCACAAAGGGTCGCGTAATACAGTTGTCACGATAGAAGGGTTCTCATGATACGGGCAGTTGGACAGACAGTGCTAAGACTGCCTTCTGGGATCATTTGTAAGCCTTGTTTTAGAGCGTAGAACAGATCAGGACGGCCACCCAGCTTCACCACAGGAATTTGAAGAACTGCTGCCACTGTTAGAAGTTTAGTGTGGGATCTCCCCCGTGGAGTCTGTTGGGAGTGGAACAGGGAGCTTATGTGTGAAGAATTCTATTGTATTCAGTCAGATATAAAAGTCAGTATATGACAGTAGTAATTAACAGGTGATGTTCATAAAACAGAAGATAAATATCTGCTGTCCTAAGTGGGCTTTTTTTTCCTTGCAGTCTTATGAAGAAGTTGGTGAGGATGCATTGGAAGGTACGTTTCTTGAATTCGATGTTGAAGTTGTCTGTTTGTTCTGCACTGATTAGACAGAGTCTTTCTCAAACTGGCCTGTAATTTCAATGCATAATATACCTTTATCTTTGAATAAATCTGAGGTCTGAGAAAATTTGTGGGTCACTATCACTGAGCACAACTGCAACCTTATTTTACAGTTCCTGTTCCAGTCTGAACCTTGTCAGGACTGAAACTAATTGACTTCACTACCATTGAGATTTTAATCTCCTATAGTACTGAAACTTTTATCCTTTTTTTAAGTATTTTTTCTGGTGTGCTATAAAAACAATGTGGATATTCTGGTTTTCTGTAAAATCCTGGAATTTAGAGCCCAGGATACTTCACTGTGTTTTTAGTTTAAAAAAGAAATAATATCAGTTAGCACACAGACAAAATATTTGCTTTAGCAGTCTTTGCTTGAAATGGGTTACTAAAACACATTGGCATTTCGGATTACATAAAAGCAGTTTTCATTTATTGATGCAAGAAAAACATTTCATACTAGCAGTTCCAATTTCTGTCTTGAGTGGAATAGTGTATCTTGTTCTTATTTAAAAAAAAAAGTCAGAAATCAGATGGTAACAGTAGAAAGCAGCTGGATCTTTTACAGGATCCATAGGATCCATCATTACATCCATAGTAATGACGTCAATGAGGAAGCCCTTAATGGCTTTTAAAAGCATTACAGAGAGCTTTCCTTTCTCTGAAGCTAACACACCAGTACTATAGTTAGAATGTCTCTGGGGTGTCTTTTTCTCATTGATTAAATTAATATGTTGAAATATGTAGGAAACTGCGATAATGCATTGCCAACGAATCATTCCTTTTCCTTAATTCTGTTCTCCTGTGATGTGTTACAACGTGATGTAGCTAAAAGCGAACACGTTTACAAGCAATTTATTCCTGATGTGTTTTGTAGTTTTTCCATTCAGCCGGCTGGTTGCTTTGCACTCTGATAGTCGCTACTAACCCACGTGATTGTGCTAGTCTGATAACCCGAGCTTTAGATTGTGGGTGCTGTTAGGTGAGCTTTACATCCTACAGGTGCTTTGGGGAATACGACGAGTTGATTTGTGTGAAATGCTATGCGTGCATTGGTAGCAGCAGAATTGTACCAACTGGGTTGCTATCCAGCTCCAAAGCGCTTTACAAACATTTCTTCCAACTGTAAAATAGGGGACGTGTTCATAGATAGGTGTCGCTGGCACTTCTTTCGTTGCTAACTGTGAAATGTTGTATCAAAAGAAGTGGTGGCCAGCAGGTCGAGAGAGGGGATTCTGCCTCTCTACTCTGCTCTGGTGAAACCCCACCTGGAGTATTGTGTCCAGCTCTGGGGCCACCAACATCAGAATGACATGGACATGTTGGAGCAGGGCCAGAGGAGGCCCCGGAGATGCTGGGAGGGCTGGAGCCCCTCTGCTGGGAGGACAGGCTGGGAGAGGTGGGGGTGTTCAGCCTGGAGAAGAGAAGGCTCCGGGGAGACCTCAGAGCCCCTTCCAGTGCCGAAAGGGGCTCCAGGAGGGCTGGGGAGGGACTCTTGATCAGGGAGGGGAGCGATGGGATGAGGGGGAATGGCTTCAAACTGGAAGAGGGGAGATTGAGATGAGATATCAGGAAGAAATTCTCTCCTGTGAGGGTGGTGAGCCCCTGGAACAGATTGCCCCGAGAAGCTGTGGCTGCCCCATCCCTGGAGGTGTTCAAGGCCAGGTTGGACGGGGCTTGGAGCAACCTGGGCTGGGGGGAGGTGTCCCTGCCCAGGGCAGGGGGTTGGAACTAGATGATCTTTAAGGTCCCTTCCAACTCTAACCATTCTGTGATTCTATGATTCTATGTCCGAGGCTTTGGCAGACGAGCTCTGGTGACTCTTGTTGCAGCAGCATAAGACGCTTCCGTCCCCAGCCATCCATTCTGACCCTGTAGTGGAGGGAGCAGAACGGAACGTGTGCCTGCGCCTCCGCTCCTCCACTTTGCAGTCCGGTGCCTTAGTGCCAACCCACCTTCTTTGGCAGTTTAAGTGGCTACACTGGGCTGCGAGGTGCAGGTATGCGTTCTCTCTGTTGACTCTGCTATGGGGGCAATCGCCACTGGAAAGAGGGACATACTTGGATGTAGTTATTTCTTATCCCATCGCAGAAAGATTTATTAGGGCTAATCCAGTCAGGGTCATGATCGGGCAAGTGCGGGGAATGTTTTGTGACTCCTTCTGCATTTGTTTTAATAAAACTCACGTGTTCATGGGGTGTGGGTCTTTTCCTAACACATTTGGCATGCAACCTATTTGTCTGTCTGTCTTTCCTCCTTTAGATCCGACGCCTCAGTTGGATGTCCATGAAGCAAATAAACAGTTTATGGAACAGAGTGAAGAGCTCTACGATGCCTTGATGGACTGTCATTGGCAGCCTTTGGACACTGTCTCGTCAGAGATTCCAGCCGTGTTATAGCCTCGTTGCTGAGGCGCTGTGTCTGTGTGACAAACCCGCCAGTGCGCTCCGGACTGTTAACGCTGCACCTGGATCCTGCGGTAGCGAGGGGTGGCCCTTTCTCCACCCAGGTCTGTTACTCGAAGTACAGGAGGACTGTGGCCTTTCCTGTACGGAATGAGTATCGTAGGAGCATCATGGTAACTTTTATTCATGGTGAAAATTAGAACTGCAACAGTTTTATTCCTTTTGTCTTGAAACGAACTCTTGATACTTCTTGGGAATTGTAATTTATAAACTTTCGACGAGATGGCACAGGGGAAAGACTACTCCAACGTACAATAAAAAAGTTGGTCTTTTAAGTAAAATTACCCTTTGCATTTTGGTTCCTGCCCATCTTTCTGTTTTGCTGCCCATTTAACTGTCCTCAGTCATTTGATCCAGCTCTCATGAATGTGTTATTTTAAAAAAAATCATTGTCGCATACCACTAAAATGTCTCAAAATCTTTCTAGTGACTGGGTAAGGTTGCTGTGACTTGAGCACGGGAAAGAATCATGCGGGTGAAAGCTTATGTTCTGCTTAACCTAAGCTGTGATCTTGAGCTAGCAAGTTTATAGCTCGGTGTTCTTAAGCAATCCACCTGAAGAGCATTTTGGAGAGTAAAGACAGAAAGAAGAGTTACAAAACTACTACAGACCGATGCCTTCTACCTGGTGGTCTCTCGCACGTTTGGCTTGCCTCTCCACCTGTGTGGGAGGACATAATTCCCCATCAGTCAAGCAGTTTAAAACACTTTTACCAGCAACCTTGTCTAAATGTTATTTTGTGTATCATGCCTTTGTTTCATTGTGGACGCACCTCGATGGTCTCATTAAGATGTTAAGATTTCATCGCGTCTTCCACTGTCCTGTCGGAGCAAATACGGTGAAACCGAAGCCCTTGCAGCAAAAAAAAAAAAAAAAAAAAACGGGTCAGAGCAATCTAATCGATATATTGTGCAACAAATTGTTGCTAGCTTGGAAAGCAGTTTTCTACTGGATGTTGTATAAGCTGGATGGACAAGCAATATATTTAAGCTAATATTATGTTGCATTAGAGGTGACAGCGAAAATAATAGCACTTATGTACATGTTATAAGCCCTTTTCAGGCTTTTGTGCCTTAAACTCTTTGAGAAATAGGAAGAGATAAACTACCTGTAATAAATGTCTATCCAAGAAATAGTTTGGGTAACTGAAATTGCTACTGCAAAGCATTTAGTTGCCTCCCTGCCCATGTTGATGCAGAGATTTGCCACAAAATTTAAATACTTTCATAAAGCCTACTTCTACTACACCTTTGTTTGTGTCCATAATTATGATATCTTTGTCAGTCTCTGGTCTTTTTATCAACAGCAATGGTAAATGCGCTGTGAATATGAGGGGAGTGGTGACATATACTGGATTTAGCGTATCTCTGAACAGGTGGAACTAGAGGACTACTGAACGCCCTGCGTCCTCATCTGCTGTGAACTTTTTCCTCCTGCTGTGCGTCTGACTGTGCTGTGGGCTGTTAACAGTGTCCTAACCTGCAGTTCCGCGGAATTTAAGGATGTGAATGTTCCCTGTGGGTACCGGTAGTGTTCCAGAGGCAGCGGAGTGGTGGAAGAGAGCAGAGTGCTTTTTTTCTTCCGATGTAGCTTCTCAGCGGTGCTGAACGCTCAGATGACGCCCGTCTTCTAGAAAAGCGCCTGTTCAATAGAGCGGCGGTTCGGAGGTGATGTAAAGAAGGTTTTCTTTATGTTCTGCTGTTAAACGCTTTCTAGATCATTCTGTTCCCGTGCTGCAGCAGCACTACCCTGTGTGCCCTTCTTTCTCCTCTTTTGGACCTGCCTTGGCGCAAGGAAAGTTGGTAATGCTTAGTCTGAGCCCTCGCGAGTGGCGTCCCCTGGTTTTTAGGGGAGCTGTGGACATACAGACCCTCGGGCCCTTACGCGGAGAACAATTTGGGAGCGCAGAGGCCAGCAAAGATTGTCTGCTGAAGCCTGTTTACTGCTGCTGCCGAGCTTAAAATAGCTCCTGCTTTTCCTTCTAGGAGAGAGGTTGACGTGAGGCTTTGGGCCACGTTCCCTCGATGTGCGAGCCAACCGTTTGGGGTGGTTTGTGAGAATCTCGGCCAACGTTCCGTTGAGCTGTTAATCTCTCTGGGCTTTTTTTTTTTTCTGTGTATCACTTATTCCTCTTAATGTTCGTTTTCAGCTCCCGGCCATTATTGCAGCATCTGAAGCGCAGAGGAGACTTCTACGTGGAGCTACGAAACAGCCGGTCACCTGGATTTTGTAGGGTTTGTGTTTTGGAATCCAAGTTAAACAGAGTGTGGGATTTTGTTTGTCATGGATGGCTACAGGAAAAGCCCTGATTAATTACCGTTTAGTGTAACGCAAGATGAAAGACAAGGACTCCGTGTAGTAAGGTAAATTCTGCTTTTATCTTTGTGTGCTAAAGGCAAGAAATCCAAGGCAGATGGTATCGCAGCTCGCTGGGATTATGTAATTCTGGAAAATTGCATCAAAATCTGCAGTTGAGATTATGAAGTACTCTGCCTTTCAGTATGCAACGTTTAGTAGTAATTACCAAAACGCTCAAACGTTTTTACTGTGTTACTCGGTGAAGATGTGATGATCCAATTTACATTCCTTTAAATTGCAGGGACTCCGAGATTACCCTTTGAGTTATAGAGTCTGAAAAACGTTGAGCCGACTGCCGAGCGGAAAGACGTGGGCGTTGCTCCTGTTGGGCACGAAGTGGCGATTTTCAAAGCGTAAGCTGCAAGGCTGCGGGGTGCCCTGTTGCTATTAACATGTGTTTAATTAAAAGCTTGACAGTAAGCACCAGGGGTGGCCTGTGGAAAATTCTGACCGGCTTCCAACGGGATGAGGAGTTCGAAACCATTTCTTTAGTAAATGCGGGTCTGGTCCAGCGCAGCCCCCAGTCTGGATTGGGGGGTCTGATGGGGTCTGGCGATGATGTTTTTCCGTGTGAGTCCGACTAGAGAAAATTCCTGTTACTTGGCCTGTTTTCAGGAGGCAGGTTCATATCCCGCACACCAAGAAGTACTGAACACCCTTAGGTATTTCTCTGAATCCCTTTTGAGGAACAGAGATGTTTGATCTTTGCGTACTCGGTTTCTCATTACCGGCTCTCTAATCCCCAGCTTCTGCTGAACAAGATCTGAGAGGAATTTTTACCTTCCAGCCTTGCTATCTCCCAGCGTATCTTGTAAAGCATACTGGATACACCAGTTTCTGGATTTAACCTGGGATTTGCTTAGACATGAAATTAATTCAATGTCAGGATAGGGCATGAATTTTAAACGCAATAGCTACATTTAGAAACTGATAAAACTAGTTCAGAAAATGTCACTCTGACAAAGCTCGCTTTACCTTTTTGCCTGGTCAGAGCATTTCTTCAGAAAGTATCTCCCTTTTTTTTGTCTTTCAAGCTGCTACACTCCTCTTCCTTAGCAGCTATTCACAGTCAAAATGGTTTTACCAAGTGCAGTCAGTTTTGTAAGAAGGGGTTTTGAGGTTGCCGGCTGTGCTGGGAGGTTTCATCGGGGCTTCGCTGACCTTGTGGTTGAGCACCGCAGACACGCAGAGGGATTTCCTCAGCTCCATCTTCTCTCCGTCCGTCTTCTCGTGATGGGCTGAGGTCTACCTGAGCATCCGTTGGTTTTTGGTATTGCTCTTTTGGGGATTATCCCCGTCTGGCACTTGGAAGATTCTCTTCCCAAACACTTGATGTTTTCCAAGGTTGTCTGAATTTGGGGATTGGGTTGTTTTTGCTACAGTGAGCAAGTTTCTGTCCTGCCCTAGGATCTGATGGGGAGATTTGGAGGTTGGCTTTGCAAGAGTCGCTGTGCCAAGGAGAATCCGGGCTGCTCATGGAACGCCTAGTGACTTGGCAGAGCAGCTGTGGGATCCGTGGAGGAGGTGGAGGACAGGACCAGCTGCTTGTAACCTGTCCTCGCTGGCTTTGACAAGGACTGTTTTTAGAAGATCGTGGTCACGCAAGGTTTGGTTCTCATTTCCAGGCTGATTTCTGCTTTAAATGGGGGCCGGGCTTATTCTGTTGGTAATCTGTCATGGTGGTGATGGGGTTACCAGCTTGAAAGGGCAAATCCTGAGCACTGTGATTTGGTTTTGATCTGTGAATTTTGCTCAGAACAGATGAAAAACTTAACTATTGCTCTCCCTCCTCCTTTTTGCACTTTTTCCAGGGCTCAGGGGCAGGAAGCGGGCTCGGTGTCCAAGATCCAGCTTTTCAACCTGATCTCTCTTGGTGGCTGTGGCTTCAGCATCAGTACCTGCAGAGATTTCAGCCCTCCCTCCCAACCAGTTGGCAGATGCTCTCTTTTTAAATCCTTTCCACTGATTATGGATCACGAACCAGGAACCTGACGGAGGTATTGTTTTGGCAGACGGACTTTTGTTTCTGAAACTTTCCCTCTGTTCCCTGAGGGTGGGCTGTTCCCCGCCTCCCGCCTTCCAAAAGGGAGGAAAGAGTAGAAATAACGTGGCCACTGCCTTCACTTTTTTGAAGAGCAACCCCAGAGGTGCACCTTGCAGGGAGGAGGAGAGAGAAGTTGTCTTTGTGCCGCCCTGGGGGTTCATTTAGGGAGGCTGGGGGAGCACAGTCACCCCCCAGTGCAAGGCGGGGGGAGGTTGTAAATCATGGTGGCTTTGCTTGGGGGTGAGATTTCCCCTGCCTTCCCGGCTGCTGCCACCGGAGGAGGGGGCTGCGTTTCTCCTTTGGGGAGGGGGGTGGCATGGGGGTGGCATGGCGTGGGGTGGTGTGG